TGTTTAGCCGTAATAAAATAAACTTGTATTTTTTTAAATGGGAATCATAGATGGCTATGTCATTTTTAAAAAGCTTGTTTTTTTCTTATCTAAAAAATATATATTTGTAACAAATTATTATAATACATTTTTAGCAAAAAATTATCTTTGATTTTTGTTCGCAGTTGGCGAACTGAAAAAAATTGTTAATTACATTATTAAATTCCTCGTAAAAAAGTGCCTGTATAATGTCTTTATTTCAAATCCGTATCTTCTATAATAACGAAGATATAATTTTTTTTAGATTTCGCCAAAATGTCAACTTTTGTCTGTAAGACGAAAACAAAAGACGATAGCGGGATGCGGTTTTAACCAATATTATTTTCTCAAAAAATGAGCCCCAGAATGTATCACTCGTTTTTGGCTAAACCTCTTAGTTTCGGAAATTCCCTATTCGGACATCCAAAATGCAGCACCCTGTACAGTAGTCCACTTATTCTTTTTTAGATTTTAGTCCATTAATTAATTCATATTATTTTTTATCTCTTAACGATTTTGATGTTATAATTTGATAAATGTTTCTGTTAAAAACCTTTTTATGTGTTTATTATTTATATAAACTAATTAGGAAAACTTTTGAACTTGTTAAACAAAATTTCATTGTATACTTTTCCACGATGATGTAGGTAACTGTTTTGTTAGGGTTAGTCAACAATTTTTTTATCTTATAAATAAACATAAGTTATGTGTATAAAACATCGATTTTATTATGTTCCCTTCTTATTTTATAGACGACGAATTATAAATATTACTTTATTTTTTAAATGTTTCTATTTTATAATTTAAATAGCCGATTTAGAAAGTGGAAACATGTTGGTTTTTTTTTCACAAAATCTTCGATTGGCCGATTGCTTATACAGACATCAGGCCAAAATTGTTATACTCACACGGAAATGGGATGTCACTCGGATAATAATAATAAATAAACTCGGCATGAACGATACTCGCATCTTTTGGTAAGGTCATATGATCACGATCGCCTGAAAAAATAAATTAATTAGATACAATCAAAACTAACATACTCAAAAAAAAAAAAAATCAAACAACTGCTCTACACATAAAAAAATAAAAACACATCGATACCTGCCGGCGTATTCTTATCTTTCCTTTTATGCTGAGCTATTAATAGAAACCTCGTTTATTTCCAAAATCCACTCACAATCCGATCAACTTACCGGCAATAAACTCTTTTAACGCCTGCTTTCTCCCGGACGTCGTCACCTTATACAACGTAAAATCCTCGATTCTCATTATAACACAAGTCGTCATCATTTTATTCAATTGTAATTCAATCCTATGCTTCACTTCCTTCTGACTGGGACTTGGGGGTTTCCTGACGTCAACAGGAGACTCCGGAGCACTGGGAAATGAATAACCTCGAACTGGGGGTACGTTGTCAAACTCCACACGGCCCTAATTTTACCAAAATGAATTACAGTCACAAGAAAACTTCGACTTCTTACATCGCTTTCGTTTCTCATTTTTCTTGCGCGACTTAACGGCGTATGTTGCATTTTATTCCGATCAATCAGGTCGAAAAATTTCGTTTTGAAAGCTTGCAACGCCTGCTCTTGCCATATGGTGTGGGGGACTGCAGTATCGTTATATTTGGGCCAATGTTTGCGATTGCCTTTGGCTAAATGATAAGGGTAGAAATCAATCTGGAACCTCTTGACTGCGATTTGAAGAGCACCCCCATCTTTCAAATTGGGGTGTGCAGACCGGCCTGCACCCGGATCGTCACACAAATGCAAAACAATCTGATTTGATAAGAAGTGGTAAGAAGTTTCAATGACATCGTAATAAGTGAAAATGTTGGGTTTGGTGGAGCCTTTTGAACGGGCTTCTTGAGCCAATTGAGCGTGATATTCGGGGAATTCCTCGAGCTTTCGCGCGGCTTTGGCTTTGCGAGAGATTTGAGTCGCTTTTTGGACAAGTCCAGCTAGAGAGTCAAGGAAATGAAGCGCTGCTTTTAATTGAGAGTCAGTTAAGACCCAGAGTAAGTCATCAAGGATTATGACAAGGCGTGAACCCATTATAGAACAGTCTAAAAAAAATATGTGATTTTGGTAGAGGCCCCAAGGTTGTCAAACCTGAAAGTCGTTTCTTGATAACGATCCGACATCGCGCTTGATTGGTCAGAAGTCTCAAGGGCGTTAAATTTTTATCAATTGTAGATTTAGCCTCGATTCGTACCGTTTGCCACTCCAATTCTTTAAAAATCAATAACTGTCCCTTCTCCCCATCCTTAAGTCTTGTCATTCTTAAATCACTTTTTGCCCATTTGGGGCTCTTTGATTCCACTACAATTCTGGACAACTGAAGAGGGACACTAACTTAAAATTCATTTTAAGATAAACGGGGATTTACCTGAACACTTGCCGTGAAAGCGGGGCTGTTGAATAAAACATTGACCGTGTTTACCGTCACTGTAATCCCATCTATAACTTTATGAATGAAGCTATATTTGCCAGGAATTGCGTACGATGAAAGCCCCCCTTGGGCCGACATCGAGCGCAACTCCTCGCACGTTTCTACTGTTACATTAACTTCATCAAGGCTCTGAAACCAAATCGTGACTACAAGTTTTTGGGGCTGTTTTTGCCATTACTAAGTGGATTGGGACGCTTTTTAGTTTCGTCCAAGGAATGCGGAAAGTGACTTTATTGCACCAGGCTTTTGTAAGACGCAACCATGACGGCAATTCCAGTAAATCAGTCAAAACGATTTCGTTCAATTCCAAGTTTGACAGTTCGCCTTCACCTTTAAAGGTGCTTAAATTGATTTTATCAGCCGATAAATTTTTCGTAAACCTTGAATTTCACGGCGTCATTAATGTTTTTACTAATTTATTTGAGTTTTTACCGTGAAAGATGTTTCAACAGTTGGTTTTTTATGATAGACACCATTTTTTAAATAACTACGACTACAACTACGAGGATACGAATTTTAGGTAATTTTTACATGACTAGAAGGAATTCGACGGTGAATTAATTAATAAATTAATTTAATTAGAAATACACAACCGGACCGCACTTGGGAGAAGTCCTAGGATTTTTTGACATTCAAGTCATTTTATTGACGTGTTGGAAATCTGAAGGTAGAGGGTCCAAAATTACAGTTGACCACCCGCAATATTGGTTATATAATTTTTGTAAAATAATATTTATTACATAATTTAAATAAAAAATAAAACTTAGAGTCCTAAGTTACCTGATTTATTTAAAATGCAATTTTAAAGTATTTATTTTCATTAATTTCAAAATAAAAATGGATAAGTAGAGGAAATACACAATGCGCCGCGAGCTTAAAATCTCATAAACACATTCAACGTAACCTCACTTAAGTTGCTTGAGTTAACACTCAAAATCAAATATAATTCCATTTGGATGTGACTTTTTTGATGTTATGATGTTTAGAAGGCTTTATTTGACTCAATTTATTGCAAAAAGATTTATTCAGAGGCGTCCTGAGGTTATGAAAGAGCGACAAACACCACAAAATCTCCTTTGGAAAACTATCGAAAATACGAAAATAAGTTTGCCTCAAGACTGGAAAAACGTAAGAAATGAAATTCTGAACTCTTTTCGATCTATTACTCCAGCAAATATTGACGCAATTACTGTAAATGTGTGTACAACAAACAAAAAATATGATTTAGCCTTGAGTTACTTGGAGTTTCTTAAAACTGAAAATATTCAATTAAATTTAGCAACCTTAGGGAATTATTTTAAATTGTTGCATGCGAAAGGACTCGAGGAACAATTTTCACCTAAGGATGAAGAAAAAATTTTGTTATTGTAAGTGTGAGTGAAGGAAAAATATGTTTATTAATATTTATGTTTTTGTAAGATATGAAAAAGTAAGGAAAGAGTATCCTATTTTAGACCAAAGTACTTTAAATAGTATTATCCAAGCTTTGTCTTTAACTAGTCAATGGAAGCAGTGTTTAGGTCTTTTGGATGAAATAAAAATAACTTCAAGTCCTACAGCTTATTCTTATTGTGTCATAATCGGGGCGGCATTTTTACATAAGGAAGACGATTTGGCTTGGAAATTACTTAACGAGGTGATAGGTCAGTATTTGTTTCTTATGTTTTCAAAAAAACATGTTATTAATTCAAGACAACGATAAAACTGTTTATTCAATTGTGTATTCATCATACTTTAAAAGAATCGGAAAAAAATCAGATAAGGGTTCGCAAATCGAAAAAATGTTCACTTTTATGCAAGACAAATGTTTAAAAATCGAGTCAAACCAAATTGAGGAATTTGTTGAGTCCCTAAAGTCTCTCAAGACAATTGTACGCTCATCTGTAGTGACTCAAAGGTAACTCAAATATAATCTTCAACCAAATTTGATTGATTTTTAAGAGGTGTGTGTAAATTTTGTAATTCGAAACTCTTACAATTCGACCTAACGCAATCCGAATTCGACGAAATCAAGCAAAAAATTATTGATAACGTAATCATCGGTAAAGACGTCTATGCTCGAACTACTGCTGAAGAATTATCAAAATTCAAAAGCTTTGTTTCAAATATGCCGAGCTTTGACGTCGTAATCGACGGCTTGAACGTGGCATATTCTGCAGGGTTGAAACAACCCCCACAAGTCACCTCCGGATTGGTATGTCTTCCCAATTCATTAACTTGTTATTTAAAAATTGTTTAGGTCCAATCAGTAGTTGCACATTTTGTTAGCCAAGGCAAAAAAGTGCTCCTTTTAGGGCGCAACCACATGAACAAGTGGCCTCGTAACAATTGGGGTTACATCAAGGAAAACGCTACGATTTTTCTGACGGAAGATCTGTCACAAGACGATCCGTATCTGCTCTACTGTGCCCTCAGTTCGGGCAAAGACACGGTAATAGTGACCAAGGATTTGATGAGAGGTCACAAATTTCTTCTCAAGGACGTCCGCTTGAAAATTTTGTTCGACCGATGGCTGAGTCAAAGACAATACCAACTAGTTTTTGCTAAGGAGGGTGGGAATTGTATTTTTAAGGTACGTGGAACGAAATCACGAGTGGAAAAATACGATTTTGTGTTACAGAAACCTCCAAATTACACGCATTTAGCGCAGAGGAATGGACATTTCTGGCACATTCCCTGCAAATCTGAGAGTAGGTTTATCACAAATAAAACGTATTGGTTGTGTGTGCAAAAATAAATGACCGATTCCTGTAAATAATAATTTTATTAATTAATATTATTAAACTAAGAATCTTTACACCCAGTGCAAGCTATATTTGCAAAAAATAAAAAAAATAAATAGTGAAAACAACCAACTTTAATTTGTTTCAGTCGAATTGACTAGAATTTCGTAACAAGGTTTACAAACTGCAACATTATTCTGTTCCAAATGCCCCGGAAGTATCGTTTTTTTCGTTATACATCTCGTACAAAAAATATTACCGCACCGTCGACAGTGCGTTTTTTTACTCATTTGATCGAAATAAGACGAGCAAATACACTCGTGAGTGTTACGTAATGATTTCCAATCGAGAGCCACTGATTCCAAGTCTTTTGACAAGTTTTCTGCAGTGATAGAGGGCGCTTCTTCTTTACTCTCTGCTTCCTTCAGAGGATGGTCGTGGTCTGCAGCCTCCAACTCGCGTGTTTTTTCATAATAGTAGCGATTGTCAGTTGGGGTTTCCCGACTTCGACTGTCATTTACTCTATTAAACTTATTCTCCACAGCTTTAGCAATGAAACTCTTCATTGACGAAATTCGTTTCGTCAGATACTTGATATGATCGTCCAAAGAATGTGTGTGATTCACTGTAGCCAATAATAAATCAGTTTGGGGCTCACGTGGATGCACCCCGGACTCGAACCGGCAATACATCCCTCTCCAAAACCTAAAACCTATGATTAAATCTGAGTAAATCAATAAATTTGCTTACGTTATGTTCTGGGGGATTAAAACCGGCACTAGAACTCCGGGAAATTCCCCGGCTTCGTATAACGGATTATCGAATTCGTTCACACAACTTGCCATGAACCCCCATAATGAGTACGTTCTTTCGGATAATCGCAACTCGTTCTTCTCCTTCTCGCTGTTTCCGATAAAAGTCCCATATTGGCAAGAGTGGACATGATCGTGCAAAGTCAGCAAAAATTTCTCATTGAATTCGAACGCTGAAGGAAACTGTTGCATCAACTGCCACGTGCAGTCCAACAATTGGGTGAAAACCGGGGAAATTTCTTTACTGTCACCTTGGATGTGGCCGCAACGCTCTGAGAATTTATGTCCAAAGGCCAACCAATCTTTCTCGATTAAAACCTTTGAATTTCTTTTCAGTAAGAGATAAATAAAATTTAAAAAATTACTTGAAATCCGGTTATTGTACGGTAATAAGGCTCTAATAGCAAAGATGCTAAAAAACACACTTGTGCTGTACGATCCCAGCCGTCTGAACAGTGCACTACGACGTTTATGCCGTCTTCGACAGCTTGTGCGATGAACCAAGAAGTGTCCAAAATCGATTTTATGTGACGCAACCAACCGCTTGATTCTAAACCGCTCAAAAAGCTGTTCATTGTTGGGTTTTTCTGCTCACAAGCTGAAAATATATTTTTAATTAACACTAAATTTTCTCATAAATTATGTATGGATTTGACTCTCTCATACTTCAGTGCAATCACAACACCTACTTTCAACCACTTTGGTTAAACTGTTCCTCATGACGTGAATGTTTTCAACTCCCAAAAACTGAAATTTGATATTTTCGTAAAACGCTTCGTTTTCGTATCCTTTCCCAGCAGCTCTATTGGCCATGGCGTTAATCTGCAATTATTTGTCTTTTCTTGTCTTTTTTCTCTGGTTTTTTACCTTTGGTCGTGTATCAACAACGTACATAAAATTTGAATTGGGGTTAGTCCTCAAGACATGATTCAGCATTTTCTCATCTTCCAAACACCTAGCACTGAAACCTGACAAAGGTTGACTACACCTACTAATACTAGCTTTGTTGTGATGTAAATAAGAGAGAACTGGTAAACGTCCTTTTGAGCGAAATTTGGAACTACCCATCAGAGTTGTAATGTTGGCAGAGACGGGAACAATGAGATATTTGGGATAAGTTTCACATAACTAGAAATACGGAAATGAGGCATTTACGCAAGTTATGTAACAAATTACAAAAACCTCATAATCAGTGTTAAGTTTGGTCACACACCACTGGTCATTTGGAACCCCCATTCGTTCATATTCTTTCTGAAGGTTGAAAAAATCCCAGCCTGTAGCTTTAGGGATGTCTTCTGTAGGCGACGTGTAAGTAAAGCAATACAAATCCTCAATATTGCTCGGTTGGGATAGTTGCTGAAGGCTGATATAAATATCATGACAATCCCTCTCTTTAGGTATCACAAAAGTAACAGACAGGAATGTTTTAGTACGGATTAAAAGCGGCGATCCTGTTGTAGTCAGCGTCAACTTTTCAACGTTGGCAATATGCATGTGCAAGATCTAAAGTTAAACCTTGAAAGTGGGCTAAATTGGGTTAGGGCCGCTCTTACCCATGTCTCCTTTTTTGCGTCAGGATCGACGAAAATCAAATGGGTCGCCGTGAGGTAGAGGGTGCCCAACGATGGGGTTTTGCAGAATCTATCCAACATTCGCACATTTTCGACCTGAAAAAACACAAGTTGGATTTTGTGTGAATGATTTGAAGTCTCTTACTTTAGGTGTTTTAATTAATTCCATAACTCGCTTATCACTGTTGTTTTTGTGTCTTGTGGACTGTTTGTTGACACGTTTTATCAGATTTAATTCGGTCTTTGAACACAGACACCATCAACTGTCATGTGTCAACATTTGACGTTTGTTGACAGTGACAGGAAAATGTTTCAGGCAGCGTGCCAAACAAAAGTGTATTGTTGGTGATCTGTATTACATATTTAAAATTTTTATTTAAATAAATTTATTTAATGCAATTTAAAAGATACAAGCAAACAATTGTATTGTAATAAAACTTTATTTTTTTTTGTCTAATGTTTAGTATATTTTCTTTTAAGCACCATCAGCAACCTAATCAAACAATAATTTAAATTTTAAAAATTATGGACAATCAAATTAAAAAAAAAGTGGTCGTCGATGTGATATTTTAGTATAAAATGAATTGTTTTTGTGTAAATGAGCTTACTTTGAATTGCAAAAATAAATTGTCATGAAGTTTGGTAATTTATCAAATTAATGTTGTTGTCAAAACGTAAATTATTTATTATTTATTAATTTTTTGTATGACACTGACGACCATTTTTTTTTAATTTGACTGTAGCTCATTTAGGTCACGCCGATGACAGGTACTGTTTTTTATTATCTAAATAAATGTACGTTTTTAGTTCTTATAATGTATTTCATTACAATGTTTTTTAATTTCTATTATGCTACTTGTATAGCGCAAATATTTTTTTATTTTTTATGTTTTTAGTTTTATCGTCATAAGAATACTTAATTATTTTTTTTTATCCACAAGCACTCTTTAGAGAGACTATTCCACACTTTAGATCAAGTATCAAGTACCAGTTTATCCACTAGTGGAATAAAGTAACTTTATTCCACTGTTATAGTAACCAGCGCACCCGTAACAACTTACTACATTTAACCGAAAGCACATTTGGCGTGACGTTTAAATGTCAGTTTAATTTTTAATTAAGTTTGGAATAATTTGGGCCTGTGATTATGGATAAAACGTTATATTGCAGTCGTGTGTTAGTCGCGTTTTATCCACTTAAGAAAATTAACCGCTCGAACTGACGTTCTCGCGATTAAACATTCTTGCGTGGATAAAACGCTACCTAACACACTCTTACAATAAATAACTATTATATTTGAATATAGGCCACTCTCTTAGGGAGGAATGCAGAAGAGGAAGAACAAGTTTATTTATGTTATCGTGATTTTATTTAGTTTTTAAAAAAGTGTTTTTGTTTTATGGTGCTTCAACTTTAATTTCTCTGTAACAATAATTTAATGTTTATGAACTCACTAGATAAAAACTTTGAGAATCGAAAACTATTTTTTTTTAGTTAATGGAATTTCGTACTCAAATATGTGCGTGTACCTTTATTTAAAAATTATTTCTTCAGTAAGTATCAGTCTTTCAGTTTTTTTGTCAGTTGGCTGTTTTTCTAATTCGTTATTTTTTTTCGACTTGTTATCCACTACTTACTTACTTACAGATAATTGGATAAAAATCTGGTCAATAAGTTTTGGAAGTTTGTACCAGTTAACATAAATATGAGGATTTTTTGAAGAAATAATAATTATGTACTTAATAATTAAAAATTCTTTATTTTTGCTATTCTTTAATAAAATGAAAATAAGTACCTATAGGTAGTTGAAAAAATTAACTGTTTATTATGATGTTTTAAGTTTAGTTTATTTTATTTTGTTCTTGCGACAGATACCTAAATTGTACCTATTATGAACTAATGCAAAAATTAACAGTTTTATTATTTTGAAACTAAAAATTAATGTAGATCAATTTTTTTCTTTTTTGAATTATGTGTATAATGTAACAAATTGTTCGCTTGTTAAAAAAAAGTATTCACATAATAAAAATTTGAATATTTCACTAAATATAATCACACTTTTTAAAAACTTTTAAACCTAAAACAGTTTATGATTTTTTTCTGCCATTGCAATTAAATTTTTGTTGAAAAAGAACAATATTTTTACTACTAGAAGAACTAATTTCATAATTCAATTTTTATAATAAGACTTTCCTTTTATTTCAATTTTGCAGCGTTAGTAGTAGCCAGAAAATTTGGAAAAAAATCTGTAACATTTTCCAGTTCTAATTTCATGTTTAGGGGAACTAAAACAACTTGAAGAATAAGAAAACTGAAGATTGAAGATTAACTTTTGATCACGTCATATCCAATCCAAGCTCAGAAAACAGTTATGTGTACTTTGTTATGTGTACAATGGACCAATTTTTGCTCTAATTTTTCTTGGACTGTGGTAAAATTATTTCCTTTATTCATTTAATAAAAAACTGACTTTAATCGTCACAAAGACAAAAAAAATAACCACTTAAACACACGTTTTGTTACGAAATTCTGATTTTAATCAATTGAGGTTAAGTCACTTTTTTTGTTTATGGACTGAATTTACAGGTGTTTGTTATTATTTCTTCTAAAATTTGGATCACATATAGAGCCAAGATTTGCGTTTAAAGTTATAGACAAGATTCTAGAAGAGAAGACGCGTATTTTTGTTGTTTCAACCCGTTTAGTTACAAAGCGAAATAATTGCATTTTTTCTCAAAATTTCATGTAATTGTTTGAAAATAACCTTGGAACTGTCTTTTGCTTATGCATCCAAGTATGTTTACTACTTTTCTATCACAGACAAGTCGAAAATTTTGCCCCAACATTGTCGGTTCATTAAACTCTCTAATAAAAAGTCAAGCCAAACCATTCGTGGTTTCGTGCATTTAACAAATTTCATTTCGTGTGTGCAGAATCGCAGTTTGTAACAATGACCGACAACCATGAAGTTCCCAACCCTAAAGATTTCCTCGCCCAAATGGGCCCCATCGAGACCCTTCTGGGTTCATTATCCTACAACGACATCGACAATGTCGACGGTAAAACCCAACAATTACGCACCAGCGCTCGCGTTTTCAAAAAAATGAAATTTGACCTATCATCCGTTGAGAAAAAAGTAGAAAAGAAAGAAGAAGTGAAACCGGAAGAAAAGCAAGAAGTTAAAAAGCCAGCCAATCCGTTCTGGACGAGCGAAGAGAAAACCATGTTTTTTGAAGGGTTGAATGAATACGGCAAGGACTTTGAAAGCATACACGGGTATATTAGTACCAGGATGAAGAAAAAAGGGCTTCCTGAGGACCTCATCAAGAATAAGCTTCAAGTCAGGCATTTTTATTATAAAACGTTTCACATGCTGTTGGGGCCGTTGAAATTTAACGATAGTAAGATAGAAACATTTGATTCGTTTTTGCTCAATTATGACTTGTAGAAATCCCAAAAAACGTGCAAGAGTTGTACACTTTGATTAATTATGGCGAAATGAGAAGAAAACTCGGGAGTGTCTCGAAAAAAAATTGTTCGAAATTGAACGATTTAATTGCAAACGGTTCTGTTCCTTTGAGACTTAAGGGTAAGACTGTCAGGGTTAAAACTCCAATGTGTAGGGCGTTGAGACGTTTGAACCAATTAGATGGTAAGTCATTTTGAGGTTTATTGCCACTCTGGAGTAACAAATTTTAGAAAAATATGATGATCTTAAATTACCAACAAGAGTTTTGGTCGAGCTCAGACCAAAAAACATGGTTTCGTTTCTCAAAGTCCAAAGTATTGCCCAAAATCCGCGAATCAAGGTCGCACTCTCACTCCAAAAGCGTTTGAGCTCACTTATCACTTGTATAAATACTCGTTGGAAAAGCTCCGAGGCTATTGTTGTATCCTTTAAGCTGAAAATTTTACAAAACAGTAAACTTGTATGTTTACTTCCTTAATTAAGTTTTCAGTACGACAAAGCTGTGATTTCGACAAACCCGGTTACAAAAAATTGCGTTCCTGATTCGAAAACAATTGATGATAGTACGTTATTGTTGAATCCACTCTTAAGACTGTCTCCTCCACCGGAGGCTCATGTCGAGTTGCCTTCAATAGATATCAGTGAATATTTCACGGGTCAGAGCATATCACTTAATGCATTTGAATTGAGGAAAGGAGTTAAAAAAGAGGAGCCCGAAGTGCCCCCCAAGACTGAAAAATTGCCGAACAAACCTGAAGACGAAGAAATCCCTAAATCGGTCACTACCGTCGTAGATGAGGCAGTCAATACAATCCTTTCGCTACAAGTTCAGAATAAAACTGACACAAAAAGTGCTACCAGTACAAATCCTAAAGATATTCCAAATGAGGAGATAATGTCGAGGATCGAGCAGATCAAGCAAGGTTGGACTTTGGAGAATTGTGCCAGTTTGACCATTGGCGAAATCTACTTAATGGTAATGATTATTAAACTTAGCATAATTGTTATTGTTTGCTTTTAGTACGGGTGTGACTCAAAAATGGTCCTCGAGTACAGTTGGGACTCTCTTATAAAGTCACCAACAGATGATGAAAATAAACAAGCAAACGACTTGAGAAATTCGCTCAAAAAACTAATGTCCTTAGCACAACTGCAAAGCGAAAAACCTGTGATGAAATGCACCTGCGGTCACGTTTGTGGCAAACCCAACACGCAACAATTTAAAAAACCGGTGACCAACAAAGTTGTGAAAAAAAATCACGTGAGCCATGAGGTGACCCATCGTTGGTCAGTTGTGTGACTTGTTGATAACACAGTTTTCTTTAGACAAATCATATTCAAGAGAAAGTAGAGGTACCTGAATTACCAAAACCGACACCTGAACCGAAAAAAGTGCAGGCAGAGGAACCGTTCCACGATACGAGCTGCTCAGTTGTTCATTTGTTCAGCCAACGTGATGTAAGTTTGTCATTTCAGGCGTAGATGGCGCTCATATCGAGTTTTAGAAGTTCCGAGTGAAGGGTCGAACCCGCTTCAAAAATTTGGTTGTCGAACGTAAATTAGTTCCTAATAAATCTGAGAATAAGCATGAAATTGTGTCTATGGATATAGTATCTCAGGAGAGCAAACCTGACGATATGCCACTTGTTAATTCTAGTGGGCTTCCGTCGATTTTGTTGGGTGATAATGCCACGTGTAGCAGCGGGAAGAATTTCAGCGGTAATTGGTCGGTAGGTGTTCTCGGAAAGGTTACTCATGTTTTTTGCAGGTCTCTTGAGTGATAATCAATCAAATTCGGGCATGTCGACCGGATTGTCAAAAATTTTGAAGGAGAATGAGAATCAATGGATAAATGCGGACGTTGCCGATTATTCGCTTAGCAGTCTTTTGGGTCACTTGGACTGTCCGTCTAAAACGAACCAATCTATGCTCAGTCTTTCACACAACGACACGCAATTGTCCCAAGATGTAAATAATAATAATGCCCATGTAACATAAGTTGTAAACGATGTTTTTTACAGGTCGATGCTCAACTTCGGAATTTACTGATTGAAACGAGTGTCGACTACACAGCCAAATTTGCAGATCTAGCAGCCCAAGTTGTGGAAAATAAAAAGTAAAACAGATCAATTGGCACAAACTTAATATTTGTACTTTTATTATTATTAATTTATGTATAGCGAAAAAAATTTTATTGTGAAAAATTTATATTTCCTAAGGTTGTAAATTTGCAATAATTTTAACATTTATGAGATTGTATGTATAATACTGACATAATAAAAACTCTTTAACTAAATTTTGGTTTCAGTACCCCATTCCTACCATCTCTGATAAATACACCAAAAACAATTTTTTTATTCTCTCAAGTAGGTACAACATTGCCTTTCATTATGACTTACATGATAATTTAAAATATGATGTATAAATTAAATATTAATTAAATAACAAAATGAAAAAGTAAGTACATTTATGAACTAAAAAAATCGTGGTGGTGGGGCCAAAACTAATTTCGAAAATAGTAAATTATTCTTTACATAACATTTCCAAATACAAAGTGATCCAGAAAGACTGTGTATGTTGGTAACAGATTTGAAAGTATTTTTGTTAATAATTTGCAACACTGCAACCGGAAACGATTTTGCTTGACAAATACTTAACGTACAACCCCTTAAGATTGTTGAACTGATGTTAATCAAAAGCGTATTCCAATGGTAACCTTTCAAAATTAGAGTCAGGATTGCCAACAGATTTATTCATTCTGGATCACTTTGTATTTGAATTTTTAAACTATGCTCATTGGTGTGCAATTTTGTTATTTTAATATGTTATTGTTTAAAGCTATCAAAAAGCAATCGAGTACTTAAAAGAATTTTCTAAGGCTTTGATTTTGATTTTGAAAAATTAATTTCTGGCACCAAATAAAACAATGGTCAGTGGCATTAAAATTCTTCTGAAAACACTTGGGTTATTTTCTCAACCTTGTAAAACTAATAGATATACTCTACAATGCAACTCAAAAGCGGTTTTTCTATTTTTACTCTAAGAATACCCAAGAAAAATGCTATAATAGCGACGGGAAATAATCAATATTCCTCAAGTTATAATGTTTGTAACGGGGTTGTTCAGCATAACCGCGCGAAACGTGACCGTATCACAATCTTCTTCCCACCATGTCAGTGACTCCAACGAAATGATAGACTACAAAAGCACTTCCAGTGATCCCCTAATTGAAAGAGTGTCTTCAGCAAATCTCGATGGCCCCATTTCACTCACATGGTTATGGGAAATAATAGTACGCACAAAACGTCTACCAGGTAAAAATCTTTTTTGGAAAACCCCCAATTAACTCAGTAATCAGATGATTTAGATCCGAAAGTTCCTTTTATTGTCCTGCGAGATCGACTGAGAAATCCTGAACGCGAAGTCCGCCAACATGCTTTGAGAGTTCTCGCAGATTTAATTCCGGTGATCGACCAGAATCTTCTAGACAAACACTTGGAGTTTCTCCTCCCGGATTTAATCATAAATCTGTCACATCTAGCACCAGCAGTACGGAAAAGCACAATCGATGTTCTCAAAATATATTTGAAACACAGTCCATACCCAAATGAAGCCCTCAAAAAATTGATGACTGCTGTCGCCGAAGATAGTCATTTGAAGCAAGGACTTCTAATGGCAGTTCCGTATTTTTCAAATTATCAGATTAGTGAAGACACTTTGATTTTTTTGATACGGCAATTATTCGCAGCTACGAATCAGGATTTTCTCAAAGAGACCTCAATCTGTTCTTTGATTAAGACAAGATCTAGACTTGGGACTGAAAGATTTAATAATTTGATAGGGGACAAACTGAACGAGTTTTTGGAACTTTGTAACCAACAAAACATTCATTTGAAAACGATTGAACCCAATGTAATTCTCGAAACTGAGATAACTCTAGAAACAGGTCCAGCTATCACAATGAAGATACACGAAGAGGAAGAAGAAGAGAACTCTTCAAGCAACGAAATTGTAAGGTATGTGTAAAGAGTTTATCAATTTTCACTATTATTCAGGAAATTAATTACAAAAAGACGGATGTGTTATTCTTTTTTTGTCAATCGATTCGCCAAAAAAATTTGAGTTTTTTTTTAATTTTATTTTTTTTATTACTTTCTGATTTTTTAATGAGTGACTTTTAGACACACCGAAAGCGATTTGGAAATGGTCACTCGGAGTCCTCGCAAAGTCCACTTTGGGGGTGAAGTGGTTAAAATGCGGACCCCTGAGAGCGACTCCACTCAGCAATCAAGTGACGATAACGATATCCACACTTCAGTAATTATAGATCGGCCTACCAGCATTAAAATCACCGTCAGTGATAACATTGCTGCTATCAAAACTCGGCATAAGAGTATGATTCCGGTTAGAATTACCACAGGGTCGAATCCGGCAACTCCCCGGAAGAAAATCAAAGCGAGAAGATTATACAAATCTGCGCCTGATCTTGGACGAAATTCCAAGATTCCACTCCCCTTTAACGGGAGTTCTAAAAAGAAAAACAAAGACAAGGAAAATGAAGAAAAATTCAGGCGTCACAGTAGAGGTGAGGACGAGTTTAGTCCAATTCCCATCCACGAGGAGATTGAAGTTTTCCACAATTTAACACGAAGTCCTCAAAGGCCTAACACGGAATCCGACTCTAACACATTTACCAGTTTCCAGATTTGTCAAGACAAAGAAAATCAAGATTCAAGTAATTTGTCTACTTGGGAAATTATCCTTCGTGATCTTAGTCATAAGGTAAGCAGCGTGTCGTGTATAAACACCTATAACTGGGTCAAAAGAAATATGAAACGGAATAAATTAACATAATTTTTGTGTGACTAGCCAAATATTTGCATTTCGAGGGTAATAGCGTGCCGAATTTTCCTTTATTGGTGAATTAATCAGCTATTTTAGGCCAATTTAGAAATATTTTTTTAGAAATGTCATTGTTTATCGATTATTGTATTAGGTTTTGTTCTACATTTTTTTGTGATTGAGGGGGTGATAAAAGGGCGTTGACTCGTCGCAAGAGCGGAAAGTCGGGTCATATCAAGAAATATACACCTTGAGTGATATCACTTAGAACATTAATCAAACTTAAAAAAATAAAACTTATCTTTGGTAAAATAAATGCAATAATGTAATTAAAAAAAATTATTCGCAAACGTCACAAAAGTGACTCTTTTATGACTAAATGACACAAAAAAATTTTACCTTTCAGGCATGGAGTAAAAACTTTGTTTTTTTGCTTAAGCGTTTTTACTTTTACCATGACATATATCACTGTTATCTCTTTCTTATCTCTTTTGCTGCTTCAGCAATTTTTGAAGAGGTACATCAGCATTCGACATTTTGCATTATTAACTGGACTAGTCATCCGCTAGTTAAATAATAAACACTTTCAAAAATCTTAACACAAATTTTGATACTGACGCGTGACGTTTGTTATAATTTTATTGCAAATCGTCTTGATTATTTTGTTCATTTACTTGCTAATTATAGTGTGTAGGTTTTTACTCTTGATCTGAATACGTTTGCGGATAAAATAGTATATGTTATTTGGAGTAAAAATGAGTTTATATGATTTAGGTAATTATTAAATTATTAAATAAATGTTCAACTTCACTTCATAAACTATCATCACTTTTACTCACAATGTCATAATATACTATTTATTTAATTTTGAATAAACAATAATCATACTAGTGTGCTTATTTTTTTCTAGGACGTTTGGATTAAAAGTCGGGCTTTGGACGACCTCAACCAACTTCTCCGCAAAAACACGCCAATTACAATCACATCTCAACTTTTCGAAAGTTTATTTTCGTGTGAAAAACAACCACGCCTTCAGTCACGAGCTCAGGTCAGTCTCATTGTTTAATTTTCTCAAACACTCACCCTTTTCCAATTTTCAGGAAACTCTCATTCTGACTATTAACCGAATCACTCCCCAAACTATCACTGAAACGTATCCTCAACTCGTCAACGATTCAATAAGAGTATCACCACCTCCAGGTGTCCGCCTCTCCCTCCTTCTCATGCAACGAACTTCTCCTAGAAAATTCTTCGAAACCTTGAAAGTCGAGCCAAAAGACCGAGAAGCTGCCCTCCAAGCCCTAATTGCCGCAACTAGGACTTTTCCAAGCTCGGAAATCGACATGAATCGCGGGATTTCAATGGCTTTTGATGCTATGAAAGATTCGAAAAGGGCAGTTAGACAAGCTGCGCTTGAAGCTTTGGCTAGTTTGGCCCAAGTGGCTGGAAATACGATGATACTCGATGCTGTTCATGATATGTCAAAGGATTTGGACGATTCGGAACATATTTTGACTATTGTGCGGATGAGATTGTCGAGAAGACAACTGCCGACTGTTGATTTAAACGGTAGTGTGAGATACTCGAGTCCTCGGGAAGAAGAAGAGTTGGAATGGTTGTGTGGAGGAGGTCCCCATCTGACAAAAACTTCATCTTTGAATTCGATCAAAGTGTCGAATTACTGGAAGCACAATTTGCGGCACGAAATAGTAAGTTTTTGTTTGGTGACGTCAAACATGCAATGTCACGAATGGGTACAGCAATATTGATCAAATGCAGACAATATGTTGTTGTGTCGGCTGTATGCGTTAAAAGCTGTGTCTTTGAATGACTTTTTTGTCGGTTTTTTGACCCCACTTTACAATAAATCAAAAATTTTTGGTTTCAGGAGGAGGTGAATGACAATTCAAAAACTGAAAATGGGATTCTCTGCCCTGTCTACGTCCTTCGCGACACTTCGCAAGTCAATGGTCGCCACTACCGGAATTATGATCGGGGACGGTCAAACTCGCCTCCAAGTCGTCAAGATAGCTTCAGTGATAGCAGTGGGAAAAATCAAGGAAAACGGTTTTTCAGACAGAGTGATCATCAATTCCGGAAGAGTTTTTCTTCGGAGCAAATTTATAACGGAAGTTATAACAACTCGATGTCTAGCAGCAGATCGTCAACGACTTCTACTGGTTGGTACTTAAATATTCTCTAGGTTTCAGGAAGGTTAAATTTAATTTTTTTAAGTTTCTTCTCGGAGTGGTCTTTGGTTGAAGGATTTTCGATCAGGGATTCCAGTTCCAATATCCTCTGATACGAAATTGAAATTTCGAACGCATAGACATTCATCGGACTCTTTTAATGGCCCTTTGGTTGCTCAAGAGCCGATTAAAAACAGGTAAGGACAAGAATTTTATGAAATAAAATGCTTTTTTTATTTTCTTTGTTTTTTATTTATTTATTAGTAATGAGTTGCATAAGTTTAACTTGGGCACTTTACAAGGTTGAATTTTAATCGTGACATTTAATTTTATTACACCCTAGATATTTTTAAAAAATGTTATTGATCACACGCTAACGAAGCTTGAATAATTGAAGCAAGTAAAGTTAGTTCTGTCGACGATAGATAAAGCATTAAATACATTAAAATTAGCACAAATAAAAACAAGCAAAGCAAATTTTTGCTTTTTTACTAGTGGTCTTAACAATAACATAATGTAACACAAAAACACAAAAATACGATCTCCTTCTGTTTATTATTTTTAACGGTTTCACTGCTTTTACAAGATATATTGAAAAAGTTTAATCTATGGATGATTTCGTACACATTTTTAAATTTTAACTGAAAACGGTCGTACAAAATGCCTATTGTGACACCAAAATAGACAAAAGCTCTTGTACGTTTACCCTTACTTATGCTTTGAACACTTATTTGTTCTTATGCTCTTTCTGTTTTTATTATGCTTTGCGTTTTTATTTGCTCTTATGCGCTGTTTTTCTCTCTCTTGTTACACTTATTAAAACATGTACACATGTTTTAAAGTTTACGCCATTATGCGCCCGCCATCTTTTATTACTAATTTGAATTCGTATTTGAATTTGACTTAGTGAAAAATTGCTGACTTGAGCGGGGCTCGAACCCCGGACCTACCTACCAGAAAGCGGATCACTACACGTCGACGTCTCAATTTTTCTAAAGTTTATGTTTTGCATTTTTACAACGTTTTCGTAGTTTTCTAAGTTTCTTAAACCCCTAAGAGTGGGTTTAATTTTGAAGTTTAAAATATTTGTCGAAATTTTGAGCGATTTTTGCAACCCGGAGCGGTTTATTATTAATAACTTCGAATTTATTGACGTTAGTTCTTTTTGTTTGCTAGGTACCGTTGGAAAGAAAATTTAATTTTTTATCATATAACAAAAAGATAATTTTGTCTTACGTTAAATAATTATCGAGAAGCTTGCTGTAAAAATTAAAAATATCCAAAATATTAGTTCAACTATTTATTACTTCTAAACGATCAAAACTTTTGCAGTTTTCTTGACGCCAATTGATTTCTCTGAACATTTTACATATGTATACATAAAAACATTACAACGTTTGAGGTACAGTTTTGCCACAATTTACAAAATAAAAAAAGTTAAAATTTGTAAATCTTTTGAATCTGAACTTCTGAAGTTATGACAACATCGAAAATAATTGTATACAAAATTCGAATGTTTAATTTGGTTGTTTCTAAAGTATAATTTTAGTTTTAATACCACCACAAAAAAGTTTTGTTTCGCTGCGCCACTGTATACAGTACTTATAAAATTCGTTGTTATTTGTTATTCACGACGTATTTTATAGACTAGCGTATATTAACTGCTTACATAAGAGGTAACTTAAATGCACTGTAGAGACAGTATAAGATACTTGTGTTGGAAAAAACATATAATTGAAATCGTCTCTAATTAGATTGTAAACCAAGACATTCTCATTTAGTTTCACCGTAAACCTCATCAACATTTTTTTTCACTCTTCCTACTCGTCGAACTTTATAAAAGCTTATTGTTGTAACCTGACATACGTTTCTTGATTTACTGTCAATAAATTTTGAAAAAGTAATTTTTTTTTCTTGTTCGTAGAACACGTTTTTGTTCGCGTATCTCGTCGTTCTTTGTTCTCACAACAAATTTTCTGGAACACGACGCATTATGATAATAAATTATCGATTTTCCATTTTCCGGAAAACTCTCAAACATCTTGCCCTAATTAATAATGTAGCCCAGCATAACTCGACCTATTAAGGTCACAGGTGATGATTCGCTCGCATGTCTCGTCATAATTACACCCATCTTGAACCCATTTACAAACCCATCGAACTGTCGACGCACCGTTGAATCGATTTTCTACTCTATGTACCTATGTGGGAGCGTACTAATTACAATTATTGATCGCTTTCTGCATACATTTTAAAAAGGTTATTTCGCCGCGAAATCGTAACGTGGAATAGTTCCTGGAATTAACCCCATTGCAGACCCTTATCACCTTTTGATATCGTTACGACGTATTCTGCCATCGACCTATGACCGTCTGCTTTGAGGCCACGCGGAGGGGTAGAGGTGGTCAAGACAATCAATGCGGCCGGAAAATTAGTTCTAAAACACTTTCAAGTGGGAAATGTTGTGCACAAACGCTGCGTTTTTCAGTGAGAAAAGTGACAAAAAAGCGAATCCGTGGGGCCTTCAAGAGCAGAATTGGTCATGGTCGTGGTGTATTTGTTTCAAAAGAAAAATTGTACCAGTTGATACTCCAATCAAAAATGAAGAAAGCACTCAGTGAGTGACTCTGGGCCTAATTTTTACACCAAATCTTGTTATTTCTTCTAGAACTAAACTAGAAACTACCCAACTCACTCCAATTCGGCTGAACTCAACTCATAGTTTTACTCAACAAATTCCTCCTCCGTCATCAGGGTCTGAATCTTCGGGCTATTTTACACCACCAGCTGAGCATCACTTGAAAGAAGAAGAAGGTGAAGAAGAGAATAATAATTTACAAGAACCTAATTTTCAAATAGTCGAGTCTGAAAATTCTGAAGTTCACGAAGTTGAAGATATTGTGAGTTAATTGAAAAATTTATATTTTTTTTAATTGAGTATTTTTAGAGACAATCGTCGGCAAGTTCTGCTGAAATCCGTGAAGTTTCTTACGATGAAGTCGACAGGCACGAAATCAAACGTTTTAATTCGTTGGAAGATGTCGATTTTACGGAAAATCGCCATTTTTCCGAACCTAGGAGCAAATCCCGGACTGAACCCTCAATCAAATCCAGTTTACCGGAAATATCTGAACGCAAAAACAACTCTGCCCCCCCACTCGAACTCCCTCTAGTGCCTTACAAATCCCCCGAAGTAACCCCAATTAAATCGCAACTCCCGGGTTCAGTAGCCTCCAACGAAACCACACCCAAGAAACTATCGGTAAGCCAATTTAAACCAATTTTCTTTATTTATTTTATGAAATTTTTATTAGGGTCAATCACCAAGACGCCTTACCCGACGCAACACGAGTTTGAAAAGAACGGGAAAATCGCCCAAAACACCGGCAATTAGTCGACCCAAGGAAATTCTAAACCAGGCTTTAGCCCAAATGGAGAGCTGTGATTGGGAGACAGTAATTCAAGGCTTAAATTCTCTCACCAGACTCTCACATACGACTCCGGAAGCTTTAGAGCCGCAAATGCATCAGATTTGCATGACTTTAGCTAAAAATATCAAAAATTTGAGGTCTCAAGTATCCAGGAGTGCGTGTCATGCCTCGAGCGAACTTTTCAATTCGTGCAAAAAGGGCCTAGAAATGGTAATTTTTTACGATATAGTTAAAATTTTGTTTTACTTTTTTTATTTCAGGAGTTAGAGGAACTAGCCACTCCTCTCCTCCACCGCACCGCCGACACCAACAAATTCTTGCGAAGTGACGCAAATGCGGCCCTGGACGCCATGGCTCTTAATATGTCGGTGCCCAGAGTCGTTGCTGTGATTGCCAATAAAGGATCGACTCACCAAAATGGGGTTGTTAGAGGAGCGGCGACGAGACTTATGAGTGATTTGGCGATGAGACTCGGTTCTGACAAAATTTTTCAATTACCGAAGGAAACCAGGGATAAATTTTTCCTAGTGGGTGCTAATGGTTTGACTGAAGGGAGTTTGGAGACGCGAAAACATGCGAAAGCACTGATGTCGGCGCTTGTGGGCCACGGGATGTTTCACAAAGTGTTGGTTGAGGCTGTGCCTCAACACACATTGAGGCATATTGCCAAAACCATAGCTGGGTTGAAGTGAGCAGGGCACTTCTTCCATTTATGTTTCTAGGAGGTAGGAGAATCAATTGTTTTAGGTTGAGGTTTTTATTTATATAAAATTTATGGCAAAATAAAATATTAAATATAAAAGGGTGTTTTTTTTTTTAATACATTTTTTTTTCACAATTATTATTTTTTTCAAACAGTCTACAGATAAAAATAGAAGCTTTTGATTATCAAAGGCATATATTTTAAACATTTAAACAAAAGTTCGAATAATCAAATAAACACCTATTACCTGTAATCTCTAATGTGATTTTATTTGTTAAAATATTTTTGACAATCCTGATTTTAAAATGGGAAAAAATTAAACGCTAAATTATTAAACTAAATGAAAAATACATTTGCTAAGTAGAAATACTAAGCACTAAGAGGTAAAAATATTAATCGCTAGGTGAAAATAATAAAGTTTTATTACCCATAAAAAATTCTTACTAAACAAAAGTAAATTCCCAATAAAAAATGTTGTCATTGCTGGGAAATGGTTAAAACAGGCATGTAGGTAATAATAAATATCGATACTATTAAATTAAATTAAATATCGATTAGAATATTTTACTAAGCAAAACAGTATTATTTACTTAGCATTTGATACTTGGCATTATTATTTTTTTACTTATTACCTAGCAAATCTTATTTTAATACTTAGCATTCTTACTTAGCATTTAGATTACTTGTTTGTCGTATTGACCATCTAATTCTTATTTTCACCACTAGAGGTCTCTAATGTTCCAAAATTCGATTTCTCCGAGTCAAGTTTTAAGAGTCTTCAATAATAGGTAGTTCAATGTTAAGAAAAGTACTAATTGTATAAAAATGTTGTCTTTGAACATAGGAGATATTTGTGTTTAAGTTTAACTTAATTAAACTAAAAATGAAATATTTTTTGCAGGATTATGAAACAGCAGTTTGCTTTATTTTCTGTTTGTGTGAATGTCACTAGTTGGCGCTCTATTCTTCGCGGATAAGCTGTTGTATTTTCCAACATTGAAAAGTTTGTTTGAGAAAATCCTGAAAATAACAATTCTAGTTGTGCCAGTAAATTACATCGATTCTTTGATTACAAATAATTTTAGTTTGTTAAATAAATTATTTTAATAAAATATGTAATTGTTTCTGTAGTAACATATTACGATAGTACCAACAAGGCAATTTTAGTGTTGTATTATTACTAAACCAGGAACATAACATGCAAACAAATTAACCCCATGAAAGAGGCGTAGAGACCGTGGGAGAGCGCCATATGGATGCCCCTTTATGAAATCATTTATTCATTAGAGTTATTACATTGTTCTTCATTAATGCTGTTCTTATTTGTTATTGTGCGTTTTAACTTTAAGGATTTGATAATTGAGCATAATGATTTTTGCGATTTACGCCTCTACATACTTATAAAAAATGTTCGGTTCATGTGATTAGAGGCTTCTTAGTAGTTCTTAGTTCTTTGTGGTACCGCAGCTCCTCTCAAATTTCTTCACTAAGGCCCGAATGACAATATTAACGCGGTGTGCCGTCTCAAAGGCTTAAAACGTTTTGAAAATACGAATCGTGGCTTGAATAGGAGCGGAACTGTTTGTAAGCCGAGACAATTATTGGCGTAACTCAACACCCTGTATAAATATTTGATTAGTGCGTTGGGTTTTTTTGAAGAATTTCAATTCGAAGTATGATCATTAAGTGAGATAATGAGAATTGCGTGCTGGTGTAATGAGTAGGTCGAAGCGGTAAAGGTGGTAGCGCCATATAATAAGATGTGTCAAAGATGTGATCCACTATTGTGAAGAGTCTGCAAAGTCATCGCTCACAATGGACATGTAAGCTGACTATGCTATCATTACGGCAACACTATCACGTGTGTTAACAAACACCCTCTTCTTTAATTATCAGTGGACCGCGAGAAGAGATTTTGATGAAGGGAGATTTACTTGGAAGAGGAATAAAAAATTTTGCAATGATAATAGGTAGCACTTATTTTGCTTTTGTCTTGTTTTTTACTTTTACCAGTTTAGTGCTTTTAAAATATCTACTTATTAGGTAGTAAGATGATTATAGGACTAATCTCGTAAAGGTTCACTTTGCGACGTGTTTTGAGTCTGCAAAATAGTCATTCACTCTCTAATAAAATAATAAAATAAAAAAAGGTAAAAAATTTGCATTAAAATTTTTCGTAAAAGACAACCGAATTTCATTACCTCAAATGTTACCGATTATTGGCAATGTAAACTGAAATAAAGTACTTACCTATATTAAAAGATGCAAACTTTACTTACATTGCTTTTTTTGTCAATTTTCCAACGCGAAAATGCAGATTGCACCCATTCAGATGAGACCAAGTTGAGTTATTTTGACTTCCTTAAAACAGCATTTTAGAGGACTAATCCTCTGAAAGTCCATTTTGCGGCGTAATTTGGGTTTGTAAAATAATAATCTTAGTGAGCGAATGCAAAAAAAATATAGTAGGTAAAAATATTGTACTATACAGTATCTCCCCGGATTGAGTTTACAAGAAGAAGAAAAAATTATCTTTGATTTTACGTCAAATCTGCAAAGGAAAAACATTTTTTGCTTCATCTGAAAGAGAAAATCTGTAATTAAAACATCATTATTCTGATTCATTGGGAAGAAAAGTTCATTTTTCTCTTGATTTTGGATTAATTTTTTCCTGCTTTATAACTCCTATCACATTGGCGGTTTTATTTTCTTGACAATGATGTCACTTTTGACAATTAATTAATTAATTATTTAATTAATTATTAATTTAATTATTAATAATTAATTAATTAAATGATTATTGTTGCTAAAAATGACTTTGTATTTTTTTTCTTAAAGCTGTTTTTTTGAGTTGCCGTTTATTAAAATTATATTTTTCACCCACATTTTTGTTATTTAACTTGCGTAAACTTATTTATCAAAGTGACATCGTTATCAAAAAAGTAAAACCGCCAATGTGATGGAATTTAAAACGCAGAGAAAAATAATTAGTCCAAAGTCGAGAGAAAAATGAACTTTTCTTTCCACTGAGTCAGAACAATGAAGTCTTAGTTATAGATTTGCTCGTTTTAGGTGAAGCAAAAAATGTTTTTCCTTTTCAGTTTATATGTATTACATCAGCTATAAAAATCAAACTTTATTTAACTTAAAATCAGAAATAAATTGTAAAAAAACTGTGAATTAGTGAACCAATTAAATTAAAATTCAAACACAATATAATGAAAAATATTAATATCTTTTATATTTTTTAGAACCTTAAAACTAGGATGGATTTTTAAAATATTTTTTCCAATTACTTAGCTCTTTATTTCAAGTGTAACCTTAAAACTAATATGGGTTTTTAAAATATTTTTTTTAATTACGTATCTCTTTATTTCAAGTGTAAAACTTAAAAAAACACACGTTTATTGCAAAAGTATGTTTTACTTCAAGTACAAATTAGAAAAATAATTTAAAACATTTTTGTAAAAAGTTGTGCTCTGCTGAAATGACTCCTCATATTAGAATTTTTAGATAAGAATTGGTTAAGTCTTCCGAATATGTATATGTACACTTTAGAACGCACTGAAAATAAAAAGAAAAACTAGTTTTAGGGACAGTAGGTACAATTTGTATTTTCATACATTTGTATGAAAAAGTAGGTACATCATAATCAAATACTTACAAATACTTACTAATTATTATTTATTATTATGAAACAATAATATTTTTTAAATGGCTTATAGCACAGCGCTCCCAGGGAGTTGAAGTTACCTATTTTTTACGATTTTTACCTTATTGCAAACAAATACTAAAAAATTTGTTAACAATAAAATATTTAAAAAAGAAATAATATAATTTTTATATATGTTTTGTGTGTACATATTTTGTGTCTTTTATTGAGTACAAAAACATTTATAGTAAGGTAGTACAATAACCCCGACAAATAAAAATAAGTTTTTTATTTTTTACTTTTTTTTTGTAAAATTCACATTATTTAAAGTATGTAGGTAATCACAAAAAGTAAAATCACATTTACATATATTTTTAAAAATATGTTGAAGTAAATATGTGTTACAACAATTTAAAAGTAAATATTTCCATGATTATACCTATTAGCTTTTTTATATTTTTGTAATTCGTTATTTTTATTTAGTTTATTTTGATACATATTGAAGTCTAAATTTGACAAAAAAAAATATTTTTTTTTACAAAAAATAGCAAAAAAAGGATAAAATTTCTCCCAAGAAACTGATTTTTTTGCCGTTGCTCAACTCAGTACAGATGTAATTAAGACGGCAACAACCAGTAAAAGTGGCATTGCCACTGCACTGGGCGTGCTCGCCTCTGTTTACGCCCAGCCATTCCACAACATCAACACTTGTTCCAGTGTAGGATAATCAAAAAATCTTCAAGTTTTTCCATTAGAAACAATCAGATAAAAAAGCGACTTTATTATGTCTAAACTAAGAAACAGCAAATTGTTTTATCAATATTCGAGATCTTTAACATCAAAACGCGATTAGAAGGGTCATAGACTAACATTAATTTAATTATCTTTTGTATTAATGAACATGTGTCATGTGTCAGCGGCTCATAAATATTGAACAAATATTTCTTGACATTATAGTCTTGATCGATTGATGGAAAGGTATATCACGTATTGTAATGAGAGATATTTCCCATAATGCACCGCGATAATTTGATTAAATCTTCTTTTGTACCAGAAAAAATAAACATCCACCTGTCACTCTTTGTCCCTAAATTTTGTATGGCTTTTACTCTAATTAAAGAACAGCGAAGTAATGGCGGGTGTGAGGTGCGGTACAATGATGGCCGCCTTGACGTCTTCTCGACATATAAATACGATTAATATAATGCAAACCGTGAACATGAATCCCCTTCCGGTCGCTGACGGCTTTCAGCTGTCGACATGTTACCACAGACCTGTAATTTACACCGCAACCGGCCATTGTCATATGAAAATCCCCAACAATGCCCTTAGTTTGTTTTTACTAATGTTGCAACATCTTCCAGCAAAATTTTTCCAGCTGTAATCGGATTAAAACGGTCACCGCGATTCTCATTTTGATTCCGAATG